CGCCCCCACCCAAGCTGCCCTTAGCCATGCAGCTGTTGGAAGATGGAAATGCCTTTCTGGAGAGGAGAGGACAGATAACTGGAAGCAGGACTAAGTGGAGGTTGTGAACTATGTACAAGGTGCCCTAGTCTTCTGGCCCCAGGATGGTGGCACCCAGCATCCAGCCTCAAGAAAAGTTATAGGACCTGAGCAAATCTGGGGGCTCCAGTTACCACCACCTGCAGGGTTCCTGAGAGTCTTATTAACCTTTGGGTACCCATCTCTCATAAGATGAGTGGACAGTAGGCTTACTAGACAGGACAAAACTGTCCTCATAGAAGGCAGAGCTAAGATACACCCCAGGGGAAAAACAGTGCTATGCCCCCAGAGCAAAGGGAAGACTCACCCCAAAGACAGCAACCACAAACAAAAGACAGCCACAAAGTCACAAAATTGCCCCAAGAGTAATTCTTCACCTAGCCAAATCAACAACTAAGCCTCAGAGTGGAACACACTGCTTATGAGCCAGAAAGCCGGAACGCAGCCTAATGGTCACTCTGAAGGCAGATCTAACTCACATCCAATTGCATCAGTCACCACCCCACAGGTGAGGTGAAGGGGCTATGAGTAAGAGGTGGCAGTGGGCCCTTGTTCTGGGTGCCTCGAGCTCTCTGCAGGGTACCTTGCGTCCTTGATGGTTCTACCCGCAAAGAACCTATTCAATTCAAGCACATCTGTTACACCTCTTTGCACTCCTAGGTTTGCACTCCTAGGTTTGGTTTCACTCCTAGGGATATTCTTACAAGGGCCTCTGGGCAGGGATGGAGTCATTCATGCTGAGGAAAGCAGCAGAGACAAGAGGCTAAATGGGTATGAGATGATCAAAGTACAATAAAAACACAGAGCTGGTGGAGAACACTGGGGAGCCCCTTTGTGTGAAAGACACTAGGCAATGTACTTGCCCTCCTTCCTATTCCTCTGATGCACCTGCCAGGGCCAAGCAACCTTGGAAAGCCAGGACAGGCAGCCCAAGCCTGCTACAGGCCAGGCAGGTGATCAGAGGCAGACAGCCCCTACTGACCCCAGGCCTTCTCAGCTGCTAGTCCTTGCCACACCTTGGACAGGCTCAGGACAGGGTCCTTCACTGGCTGCCTTTAATAATGAGTCCCAAGCAGGAGAGCAGGAATGAGCCTGTCACTAAGGAAGTAAGGAAGAAAAGAAATAGGGCAAAAGTACATTCTTTGTTTATGCCACATAAAAATGCTGCTCTTGGTCCTTTAGCAGTCCCAGAGACATGCCTCACATGGAACTACCCCTTAAGTTACCAAATCCAATGGGAGGGAAAGGATGAATCAGAAGGGGTTATTCTTCTGGTGATAGAAAACAAAAGACATAGAGAGAAAAAACAGGGCTATTGTGAAGAGTCAGGCAGCAGGAATGGGAATCAGGGCAGAGTAGAAGTAGCTAGATAGGCAGCCTTTTGGGAGGTAATCCATCTTCAACCACTAGAAGAAATTGGAATTCAAGCACTGGTCAGCACCACCCCTAGTGAACGAGGTGGTAACAAGGAGGTGATGCAGCAGGAAAGGGCAAATGCTGGCTCATGACAATTCTTGCTACAAAGAATCAGTTGTGGATTCCTAAGTCTTAAAGAGTTCATGACTACCAACCATGCTGACAAAGTAAGGTTCAACTTCTTGGCATTCCTCTTGAACTCTGGGCAGGAACTATTTAAGGAGACCTGGTACCTGGCCTTCACTGTGGCCTCTAAGCTGTCCCGTTCTTGTTACTAGCTTGTGGTTTGTTTGGAGAGGAGAGAACAGGTGATACAAAGGGAAGCTTCAGAAAGCCCTAGCATGGGCACAGAAATCCTTAATTAGCTCAATAGACTACCATACCAAAGTCTTGGTTGTAACACCTCTACTGTTTTCCTACTTGAAACTCCTTTGCATGTTTTTAATGTGAAGCTGGATTTTCCAGTTAGGGACAGGACACAGTGAGGGGCGAATGGTTGCCTTTGAGTGGTTACTGAGCTGGGCCATGCAGAAGTTGAAGAACCAGGAAGGGTGGTGGGAGAACATTGCAGCTTCCTTGTTCTGGGGCTGTATTTACAGTATGAACTTCCACTGGTTCTCCAATATGTCTCTTAGGCCCACAGAGGTGAGAGCAAAGGACATGGAGAGGTGTGTAGTACACATCTGCTGGACAGTCCACCAGCACAATATGCTGCCTGGTTTGCTTACTTATTTTTGTTCATTTTTAGGGAGGAAATGAAATATAGAATATAAGGATTATCAAAATAAAATCTAGTTGTTTGAGAAATTATGAAAAAATTCTCATGGTTTGATTTACTTAGATCACACCAAGCTGAATTTCCTTTTCCCTCCTGCAGGTTGACCAAGGGCCCTGTAAATAGAAATGACAGAGGCCAGATGCAGGAGTCTCCAGCCCGGGCATTTTAAAGCCTGACTATAACTACAGCTTCACCCATGGAGCTGTGCCTATGTTGCATACTTGTAAATTCTGGGGGCCAGGTGAGTTAAGACTCCTTACTTTGTTTTACTTCAAGTGAAAATGTGTTAGGACTAAGAGTACTTTAAAAAAAAACCCCATAATCAAGAAAAATTAAGCATGCCACCATTCATACCAAAGAATGGTCAAAAAATAAGACAAGGTCAGCAGTGAGCAGGCTTGTCTGAGTACTTCAAGTGAAAGTGTGTCTGTTCAAATGAAGCAAGCTCCTGTGGCAAATGCTGGAGACATTCCTCATAGTTTTTGTGTGTGTGTGTGTGTGTGTGTGTGTGTGTGTGTGTGTGTGTGTGTTTTAATACCTTCAAGGATCAGAATAATAGATAGGATTAAGTTCAACTGTCAGAAAATGTATAACATCAAATTAGGATTGGCATAAAATAAAAATATACCTAAAGATGTTTCAGCTCCTAAACCATAAAAACACAGCTTCAGAGACACTATTATATCAATTTTCAAAGTACTTCATAACCTGAGAATAATACTTCTTTGAGGCGTTTTAGAATGAGTGAAAGGACCCAAATGGAGTTGGAAGGGTACCCTCATGTTAGTGACTTCACAGACACACGCTGACGTCCCATGCCAACGCACACACTCCATGATGGATGTTCTGCACACACGGAATGTGAGCATGCTTCCTCTCTGTCCACTGTTCACAGCAGTGCTTCTACGTCAGTTTAAAAACACACTGCAATCACTCCAACTTCCAATGATAGAAAAATATGCAATAAACACATACAAAGGAAATACAGACTATCCTTTGACTGTGACCAATGAAGACCTGGCTACCAGGAAGGTAAATGAGGCACACCAGTTTCACATGTGCACCATTCCTCCTACCACCTCTGGAGCTGAGTGACATCCCCCACCCCTGAGGAAGAAAATGAAAGTTACTGCCACAGGAAATGTTTGGCTCTTGAGCTGACAGCTACATCCCACGCCATCTTCAGTACTAGTCAACGTGACATCAAGAGACAACATTTATCGAGGAACTTACTAAAAAGCTTATACATATATTGGATCTTAGTGAGAACTCTGCAGGGAGGCATTATTGTCCCTGTCTGAGAAATGAGAAAAGAAACCTGAGCTATTCAGCAACCTGCCTAATTCATACAGCCAACAAGCAGTAGAGCGGGGGATGCAGACCCACTACGGCCAACACCGAAGGTCATGTTCCATCCTCCCACTAAGCCAGGGATTGGGTTTCGCAGGGCAAAAAGGCACTTCCCACACCAGGAAATGAATGTGAAGCCCTCTCCAAGTTTGCTGGAAACTACACACATTTACCATCTTTTCACAGCCATTAAGCCATTTGAAAAGCCCTCTTACCTTGCTACACACTGGCAAGCTTCAGGAAACTGTCTCGAAATGCCCAGGCTGCATGAGGATTCAGTATAAATAAACTACCACAGACAAACTGAACTCAAGAAAAAGTGAACAATGAAACTGCTTACATGAGGCCAAACTTTAAAATTCAAGCATCTTCATGCAATATTTAGAGCATCCCCCACCCAGATTCAACCCCTTAGGGTAAAAAGGCAGCTGCTTCACAGGTGGGAATGGAGAGACTGTGCCAAAACTGACCCTCGGCTGACCTCAGAACTGTTCTGCTGGCTTCACACTTACTTCTAACTTGTTTTTGAGGGCATCTGGGAGGGGCAAGACCATCAGCAAATCTGGTGAGCCCCGAGAATGCAGGGGAGACGGTTAGGACAAGCAAATGGCGGGGCAAAGTACAAGTGTAGGACAGGGACAGTGCTTCACTTAGCTCCACATCTGCTGGAGATTCAGGTTTTATCTTCAGTAAGGCCACAGGGCATGAAAGAAGGAAATCCACACTCAGAGTTAAGCCCTGGAGGATTCTACACGAAGAGAATGATTTTACAGAAAAAGAAAAAAAAAATTATTGCCTATGGACTTGGTCATTGAGTATAATAATTTGAGTATAATAATTAGAAATATAATCTATGGAATGAGAGATTTATAATTACAATCAGTGTCTGTTTTTACTTTTGCTCTTGTTAAAAAAAAAAAACAGCAAAGTGCTTGGAAGACAATCTCTTTGCCTCAGTTTCCCTCAGGCAGATTTACAGAGTCCATAGACAGCTCATAACTGCTCATGGCCAGAAGGCTAGCTGGCAACCTGACCATACAAGTGTGGGATTCCTGGACACCAGCTGTACCCCACACAAACTCAGAACTCTTTTCCACAGACCACTGGACCAGGGCCTAGGGTTACACTTAAAACAAGCAGCTGATTACTTTGGGAAGAGCACACCCTTCACAGCCTAAGCAAGGAACTATCAGCATTTCTCTGCCACTCAAACTGCATAAAGCCACTGCCCATATCACCTTCAAAAGGAAGGCCTCTTTGACCCCAGAGAAAAAGCACCCTAAACACAAAAAACTTGATAACCCACACTTCATCCCTTCTTACCATACCCTGCCAATAAAGCAAGTTCTCCAGGTATAGATCGGGAGCGCAGGCTTACCTGTGCTGGGCATGTGGTTCACGCGGGTAGGATTCAGCAGCTCTACTGGCTGGTCTCGTCCAGAAAGTCCATCTGGGAAACAGAGAAGGCACTGGTTTCAGAAAGGAAGCACATTTCAGCAAAACTGCTTTAACTTGAGCGTCTGCGCGGAGCAACTCAGCAAATGCTAGAATGCGTGCATCCTTTTTAAAGGAAGACAGTTTTAATTCCATCACAGATTATTTTTATTTGCCAGAGAAAATGAAGGCCCTTTGTAGAATAATCAAAACAGCAAACTCCAATTCCTGGCCTAAGGGCATCTGGCTCACTTCTGTATACCACCACTTCTATCAATTTGTGTTTATCATAGTGGGTTTATCTCCAGACATCACAGCATTAAGATAATCAAAACAGAAGAGCTCACCCTCTCCCCAGATACCAAAAAAATATCTGCACACTAACAGGAGCGCAGCCCAGCAGGCACTGTTCAAAGCACTGTGGGAGTGTGTGGCTACCGCAAAGGGAACAGTGTGTTGGATGCACACCAAGCATGATGTACTTACAGAAATGACAGAATCCTTTCTTTTAAACTCACTTTTAGATTTTACTCAAGAACTAACTATTCTGTCTACTCTAACTCACTGCAAGGATGAGACTGGAACCCACCCACCACTGAAGCCTGGCACAGGGTACATTTAGACCGCCTGAGATCTTCTGTTCTCCCACATAGGAAGAAAGATTGGCGGGATTTCCAGGAATCACTTTTTCTTTCAAATCAGCTTCTGACAAGTGGTGTAAAATGCTCTGCAAAAACATGCACACCGTTACAGACCTGCACCAGAGGTCCCTCATAATTAATTTAAGGGAGAAAGCAGCAGCTTCGCAGGCAGTCATAGAGCTCCAGTAGATAAATGTCGAAGCCTGGCACAAACAAGTAACATCAGGTCAACTGACTTTAAGAATGATACATACCTAGCAGAGCTAATCCTGCATATACTTGGAGAAGTTCAGAATCCAAGAACAGAAGCCATAGCCCCGTGAGATCTAAGGCATGTTCTTCTCAAGGAAGAGACAGGAGCATGCACAAGGCCACTGCGTGTACACATAGGGCAGGGTGGGGCTGCTGATGTCCCAATCAGAGAATCAAACTCCTCTCCCTCCAACCAGACCCCCTCCCTGGTTCTAGCAGCTTTAGGGTTTCAAAACAGAAGTAAAATACTGGCCTAACTGGGGTAAGACAACTCAGGCTCCGTGGGTCAGGAGGAGGACCGGGAGGCCATGGTTACACCTTAGAAGCAACCACCAGGCCCAAATACTCATCAGTCAACCACTGGAGGCTTTCTCAAGAACAGAACCACCGGAAAGATGGCACAAATGCTGGATTGTAAAGACAACATCAGAGCTCACTAGAGCCTTAGATGGAAACCCCCACACAGTGGTGAAAAGTACTTTTAAGTGTTTGTTTGGTTTTTTTTCCTGAAAATAAATGCTCACTGAAGAAAAAAGTGAAAAATTCTAAAAAGTATTCACATATTTTTAAAATTCTAATCCCATAATAAATACTCTCAGAAATATTAAAAGCACCTGATCTGACTGCAGTTTTCCAATGGGAGGAGTCAGAAGCAGGTGGAAGTACAGTCTGCTCAGGTCTCTGCAGCATCGCTCTGAGATTCCCCAAAGGGTTTTCTGTTACCAGTGGTCAATGCCTATCACCAGAAGGGCTTCTACCAGTCTCCTCAATACTTGTCTTTACTCTTACATCTGAACAAGAGCAGAAGAACCCATAAATTTAGAACCCGACACACCCAGGACACTCCAGCTCCATGGCAGTTAGTGTGATGATAGGGCCGGAACATATGGAGGCTTTTTCTAGAGTCTGGGACTGAGCCCCTGATGTCTGCCTGAGCTCTGAAGGCCTAATGACTCCAAACAATGCACCTGACACTTATTTCCACTGGACTCAAGCAGGAGACATGTAAAATTGTGATGTAGCTGAATAAAAGTGTAAGTTACAGATACTGGTCTTGTATACAAAAGCACCAGCCATGTGTCTTAATCAATACGTGGCTTGGTTGAGTCTTGGCTCATCTACAGGACTTTTGGGCTTTGGGCTGGGGCATATCATTTAGCCTTCAGAAAGATGTTAATCATGCAAATGAACTACCTGGCACAGTAAACAACAATGCTGTCTGAAAAGAGCACATGATTACCACAAGTAAGCCCGACTTCGAACTTTACATATATTCCAGCCTTTTTAGTAACAGAATGCCTGCATCCTGACACAAAACAATTCTCTGAAACCAGCTGGTTTTCCCACCATTCAGTTCAACTCTGACACTACCTACTTGGAGTTCACACTACCCCTACAATATAAACAGTCAAGTTCAAGTCTAAAATATTAAATAGAAAATTTCAAAAATAAACAATTCATAAATCTTAAATTGTAAGCCATTCTGAGAAGCATGGTGAAGCCTTGAGCTCTCCTGCCCTAATCTGCCCAAGACATGACTCATCCCTTTGTACAATGTACACACACTGTATGTGATGTCAACCTGCCAACTAGTTTAGTAGCTACCTCTATTAGCAGACCAAGAGTCATAGTATGGCAATGTTCCTGTTAAAGTAACCCTTTAATAATGGCCCCAAAGTGCAAGAGAAGTGATGTCAGCAACTCAGGTGCATCAAGAAGAAGCCATAATGTGCCATCTTGCCATCAGCATTAAGAAGGTGAATACCTCAGGGTCAGGTATTTTGAAACACATCATATTCAGTAACTTTTATGAGTATATGTTATAATTGTTCCCCTTCTTAGTTGTCAGTCTCTCAGTGTGCCTAATTTATAAACTTTATCATAGGTCTATATGCAAGGGGAAAAGCCCAGCTTATAGGGTTCAGCACTACCTACGGTTTCAGGCATCCGTCTTGGAACGTATGTTCAACGGATATGGGGAATGATTGTACTTTCATTTATAGGTTTATCATTAAAGATACAAATGAAGCCGCATGCTAGTGACTCATGCCTGTAATCCTAGCTATGCAAGAGGCAGAAATCAGGAAGATCACTATTCAAAGCCAGCATAGGCAAATAGTTCACGAGACCCTATGTCCAAAAGGTGGGGGAAGGGGGGACTGATGGAATGGCTCAAGCTGTAGGCTTGAGTATACAAATGAATACTCACATGAAGAGGTACATATGGTGAGATCCCATCAGGCTCCCAAGTATGTGCCTGGTTCACTAACCTAGAGGCTCTCTCAGCATCATTGGTCAAGAGAGCTTATAAACCAGCCCCCAGCCACCAACTTCCCTCTCGCCCCGTGGTCACACCCATGATCAGTGGGTGGGGTGACAGCTCCAACCCTGTAATCTCTAGGTCCTTCTGGTGACCAGCTCCATCCTAAGGCTAACTAGGGCCTCTATGCAGTAAGTCACCTCATTAGCATAAACTGAATGTAAAAGAAGAGGGCTCTTTAAGAGTAATAGAAGACACTTTAACACTCAGGAAATTCCAGGGATTTTAAGAGCCCTGTGCCAGGAAACAGGACAAAACCCAGATGCAGTTCTTTTTTTAATACTAGGGAAACTGCTTGTTCTCACCAAAGGACAACCTGTACATCTACATCTCCAACCCTTCCATTTTCATGTCTTTGTACACTAACATCCAGATATTTGGAGTCAAACAATTGGTACTCAGCATTAACTCAGTGTAAAGCTTGTGCCTCCAAGGATAGGAGCAACTATGTGGAACTATCTGAAAACAAGTGCATCTCCAAATACACAAGACCCCAAGTGTACTGACTCATTGAGTCACTTGAGAGAGTAGCTCAGAAGTGGCACTAGCTCATATCAGTTGGAAAACCAGCAGGCCAAAGTCTCTTTTGGAAACTCTACTCTCTCCTGGCTTCTCTACAAATCATTCATTTACTTACCATAAGCAGACATGGCATCCTACTCTCAAAGGAGGGTTACAGGGTAACATGGCTAACAGGTAGGCCCACTCCAAAAAAAAAACATGCAACCACAGGCTCCCAGGGCTGAGTAGCACCCCAAAAAGCCTAGGAAGCATCTCTCATCACAAGAAAATAATGGCCCTGTACTCAAGAACAAACTGGGCCCAGGAGAGGGCTAACAGGAAGGATGGGGCTCCCTGATGTTCACACAAACACCACTACCTGCAATGCTGGCTCCTGAGTCTTTTGCTAGCTGGCCCAGTGTCTAAGACTGCCAATCCTATGTCCTACTGCAAGACCCTAGGTACATGGTGAAGGACCCTGGACATATCACTAGAGTCAAGGCCTAGGCCTGGGGCTTCCAGGAGCAATAAGTGGGATGTGACCCATCTCTAGCCTCCAAAGGTATAAAATCTGGTTACAGAATAAAGACTTCACACGACTGTCATCCTGCAATCCAGGATGTACAGCACAAATTCAGTATTATGAAGATACGAAAGTGCTACTAGGGCCCTCAGGATGTTCCTTCCTCCATCTGTATTGCAACGACCAGAGCTGGCAACAGGTCCAGACCCAGTCCCAAAGGTCAGACCTCAGAACCCACATCAGATGTAAAGCTAAGTAAAGTTCTAAGAGCAAAGTAGGCCCTACAGTGAGGCTGGATTGTAAGGCACAGGTACTACCAGGACTGAGAAAGATAGCTCCGGTCACCAGATCTAAATATGCAGAGACCAATGGCTGTGTAGTCTCAAAGCAAGGAATACTCTCTCTGCCAGGAGGAAACACACAAGTTGGAGGCATAGCCAGGAAGGGGTGGCAGTGCCCACGAGGACAATCTGGTCTGTAAATGTATACAGAACTGCTTCTTAATGCTGTATTTTTTCAGATATCATATCCCAAAGTGAGTAAAACTGCAATTGGTAATGAGAAGTGTGATTTCCATAGTTACCACCTCTGTGCTGAAACCTCTAAGACTGAGAAGGCTGAATCAGAACCTCATGCTGACAGCAGGAAACAGTCAGAAAGGGAACCAAGCTCCACTTCTTCAGTGATCACCTGCCATGGCAGGTTCCCTGGCTTGTCTCCACTTGAGCCTTTATTTGGGAAATCCACCTGACGGACTGTGGGCTGCCTGTCCTCAAGAT